ACTGCAGACCGTTTACATGCAGAAAAAGATAACACACAAGGGGACGGGTAATAACCGGAAAAGCATGACATGGGACCTTTAATGTGAACATATGTGTAAATGTGTCTGTTGATTGTATATATCATATATATATATATATATATATATATATATATAGGATATACATATTTATACATATTTGTATTGTTGTATTTTGTATTCAGGATTGTTGGAAACGTTATTTCGATCTCTCTGTCTGTACAAACATACAGAAAACTTTACATTAAAGTTGACTTTGACTTTACAATATATAAAACCAAAAATAACCCTATATTAAGTTTGATGAATTACAACTCACACAAGTTTAAACTCTGCAATTTGAGTTTTCAATGCAAACAAATCAATGGGGGCTGTAAAGGTATATCATTTATCCTGAAACGTACATAATGTTTTTTAAATAGTTCATATATTTAAAATGGTATGCTTTTTGTAAGTATTGTTTGAAAATAAGAACACTTGGTATGGTCCTTAACAAAAGGAGCTATATACTACAATTAAAACAAGATGTACAGGCAGCCAATCATGCCCTCACCTTCTGCCCACTCCAGCTGCAGAGGCAGCATGGGCCCAGTGTGCAAACACTCCCAGAGATCCAGAGAGAACGTCCCCCTGTCCACCACATCTTCTCCCACTGCCCTCCACACTGCACGTGATCACTGAAAACAAAGTCAGGAAGTCACCACATGTCTCCACAGTAACATTGCAAAGGGTGATAGACCAGCTGGAAAGTGTGTCTCCTAAATATTGTTTTCATATTGTGAGAAATCTTGACACTTACCTTTACCGCCATCTGTAATGAGATCCTGTTCTCCTTTTAGCACCATAGTGATATTGCCCATGGCAACACTGAGCTGAGTGACGCTGCGCTGATGATCACTGATGTCCATGGGCTCGTGGTGCTGAGACAGCAAACACACACATGCGTACATTAACACAGAATAATGTGTTATATGCCATTATTTGGTGTCTAAATCAGCTCTGCGGAAGAAGACCCACCAGCGCCTCATACAGTCGAGTGAACTCCATGAAGTTAGGTGTGAGGATGCCTTTGTGGTACCCGTGAATAACAGATGGTTGCTGTGTAACTAGCCATAATCCATCCTGTTGGAAATAAACAAATATAATAACAAAACAGACTCATTGTTCTTTGTACAGCTCTGCGAATAAAATCCCATCTGTTCAACAAACAGCTTGATTTTGAGACTTACTGCATCTATGATGATTGGGATATCTCTTGTTTTAGACTTCTCTATCACCTCCTAAAAGACAGGGAAAAGATAGTTATTTTTGAGATAATTTAGAAGCAAATATGCAAAGAACAACAAGACTTAGGTTAAAGAAACACACTGTACAGTTCTCTCAGGCTGCACCAAAGAAAATCTGTATATACACATCAACTTGTTTGATCATTCTTGGCAAAGTTGGGTAACAACTCGACAGTAGAATTACCCAATTTATATAAAATATATGTAGTTTAAACTGTATACATGTTTGCCAATAAGGGACTGATGGATTTAACTGTCTTTAAGAGTCTCCTTAGCATCAGTGCAGATGTGTCCACAGAGAGGAGTTGTTTCAAATGTGAAAAATCTAATGTTAGTACAGTTTTGTGTTTATGCACAAGCATCTGTTCCAAGAGACTGTGTAAGTGCAGGAGGGAGTGAATATATTCCACGTGCCTTGGCTGTTTTCAGTAATGCGTCTTCTCTCCCTAGACCTGGTCCCACCACCAGGGCGTGAAGTCTCGGAAGCCATTTGTCTATCTCTTCCACTGCATTAGGACTGTCCCTTGATACACACACAGACACATTAGATTTGTTTAAATACACTACTTTTGACCCAACATGCTCTTTTTTCCAAAAGCCATATTCTTTTATGCCTTAACTTGAACATAAATAATCCAAACTTTTTCTACTAGAGATGCTACTACTTTATGACATACACAGGTGATGGCCAGTAGTTGGAAAGAAAGATGTGTACATGCCTCTGATTCTCAAATAAATTGCATGCAGGATGTTCACATACTGTAGTTGTTCTGGGTTACTGTTTGGGATATGGTACTTGCATTACACTTCTATTACAACATATTACTTTTGGCACGTTTACATTAAGTATACAGGCATAGTAAAGTTGCCAGTATATTAAAAACATTTGTTGGTGTTGAGGACTGTATTACATTATACAGAGGGGTGTTGTAGTGAACAGGTTATTAGAGGACATTCAGAGAATAATTGGTCCCTGTGGATCTGTACTTACAGGACAGGATGAACTATAAGTTCAGGGCTGAATGATTTGATGACAGTAGCAGCATCTTTGGTGCAGAACACATGAGACAAGTCAGCCCCCTGGAGAAAAACAAAAAGGGACTGTCACTGCACCAGGACTACACTTTAACTGTCTTATATGTCATGCTGGGTAATATTAATGATAATTGTCTCATCATTACTACATACCGCTTTCAATGCTGAGATGGCGGCAAAGTACGGTGCTCCAGTGTAGCTTTAGAGGGTGGAGATGAAAATAATTAGAGCAAATGTATTAAAGAACAAACAACCTCAACTGTGTTTGGTGAAGGATGTTTGTGTTGAGAACGAGTTGTGTTTCATACTCTTGGCATCCTCCAATGATCCCAATACGTCCATCTTGTCCCTTGTGCTTTTTCGATGTCAGTGGAGGGACGATGCTCTTTACTAGTGAGAGGAAGTCCTCATCCATGCCTCTGTGTGACGTAGATCCCGAACTGTAGTAGCGTTCAAACACTGAGGGAATAAACAAAGTGATTGTTTTAAAGTGTGGGATAACAGACTAAAGATGACAAAAATACACAAATAACAATATACTGAAAAACAAGATCAATTAACAAACCACCTAACATAAAAACAAAACGTGTACTGTGGTGACAGTTCCTTCATGGAGCCTTCACATTGAAGCTGATTTGCCTTTTAATTCCCCCTCGAGGCTGCACACGACAGCTAAACTAATACCTATTGCCTGTGGATCTGGGTTCAACAGTTGACTTTTTGGGGTGCAACAGTCTGTCTGGGCTGAAGGGCGTCTGAAGTGACCGGACTGGCCTTGTTTACATGATGGAGAGGCACTGGAGAACACTGGAGCACGGGCAGGAGGAGCTGTTTTGGGGGGTTCTGCTGCAGATCCAGCTCTGGTGGAGGAGATGCTGGAGAACATCTGTCCGAGCATCTGAAGCATGTGCAGCTCCCTGGTGTGTTCAGTTTCTCTTCGGGTGTCTTCTGCCTGCAAGCGCTGCTCCTCCATTCGGTAGAAGTTGTCCTCAGCATGGACGCTCTGCTCCAGGAACTGCTCCATTAGTTTTTCCATGGGGAAATTTGTGCGCCGCTTCCTTGGCCGTTTAGGTATCCTGGCTGACAAGTTGCTGGCCAGCTGGCTGCTGTTATGTGGTCTCACTGAAGTACCTGAAGAAGAGAGGGGCAATACAATGTTTGAGGCATCTTTGAGCACATACAATCAAATCATCAAAGTATTAGAAATAGATAAATGTGGAATAGGAAGTAGGACTTACTGTTTATGCCCACTGTCACTTTAACCGGAATTGGGATGGGAATAGTAGGATATTCCAGCTTCACTTCAGTCTCTGCAGGGTAAGGACACTCCCCTGTGCTCTCTGAGTAAGCATCCTGAGCATCCTGAGCATCCTCTGCATCCTCCTCCTCCAGGCCCTCCCCGGCCTCCTCTCCCCCCGCCACACTGTCTATGAACTCCTGAGGGTCAAGAGCAGGCCGGTTGCTCAAAATCCTCTCCATGGTGTCATAAAACTTACAGATCTTATGATACTGCCCGTTGTTCCGTAGATTGCCTTCCTTTGCCAACAAGTACTGTCTCTTGAGGCTTTTGATCCGCACCCTGCATTGCTCCGGTGTCCTCTCAAACCCCGTGGCCCCCAGCCTCCGGGAGACGTCGCGGTACACGAAGCTGTTTCGGAAGTTCCCATCTAGCGCCGCCTGGATGTCCTGCTCCCCCCAGATGTTCAACAAGGTCCTCGTCTCTACGTCCGACCACAAGAAGCCCCGCGTTGTGTTCACTTGCATAGCGGATCTAGACAGGCGTGCTTACAGAGCAACCTGCAGCCCCAGGAGTTGAATGGAGATGTTGGCTCTGCGGATTGTAATGGGCGTCTGGATCTTGGCATCAAAGCCGAGGAGCGACGCTATCCCAAACAGCAACAACTGGCCATTAAAATAGCTTAGAAGGACTTGTAAGGATATTAATAATTGTTTTAATCTTGCTAACTATTACAATCTATTGTCAAATCAACTCTTTGTTTGCTAGCTAAGGCATAGCTTTCTATGTTTATCCTTTTACGTCGTTAGGAAATGCGTAGCTAAGTACTTTGGGAGGAGCTGACCGGGGATCGGTGTCCGAAGCCCTTTTCACAATCTCATCTTTTATTAGCGGGAGAAAAACTGACCTGTGATCAGCAGTCTGGTTATAACTTCCCTTTTTTCTGCCTCTGTAAGGTGTCTGCGGGGTCCTAGAGCTACCAAAAGCTTGTCATTACCAACATGGAGGAAAGGCACCACTAAGATTAAAGGCTGCTAGCTAAACTAGCATCACAGCTAACTGGGCGGTGCGATAAAATGTCACACTTTTCATTCACTTTACCTTTCTCGTTCAAACAGACCAATGTGACGAAAAGCGACAGAGCAACTGAGATAAAGCAAAAGGCGAGCATCTGAACCTCTTGCGGCATGTTGTTGTCATTCTTCACCCCCTGGTTGTAAACAGTTCTTCTTACCTAAACTGGAGCTGCGTCTCAGCTTTACACAAAGTATCCTGATCATGAGGCTCCCCTCAGTCCTGCAGTACAGGAGGAAACGATGCCTTTAAAGACGCCTCGGACAATCCTATATTGAAATAGGCTGAAATCTGTCAAAAGTCAGCTGCAGCCCACACAGCTGAGCAGCTCAGCCAAACTGCACTTCTTCTGATGGCCGCTATATGATGCTGGTTGGAGCTTTGAGGGAATTGATGCTCCAATAATATAATAATAACTACACAAAAAAAACACTTTTATCACTTTATTTATTTTGTGTTGTGTTATGTTGAATCTGTTCAATAGCAGGCCTGTACATTTGGCTTGTTTTATAATAGTATAATATATGTTTAGATAAACAATATTCATTGTCTCTGTATTTATTTGCTTGGAATGTGGCTATTAAATGTTGCACTTAACAAAAAGAAACAATTTGAGAAAAAACAATTTGAGAAAAAACACCTTTAAAACCACATACTAAAACATACAAATGTTTCCTGAAGTTTAGAAATAATCATAACACATACAATTCAATCTTACTTAAACTACAAATTGCTGTTACATTTATTGTCCAATGCTTAGCATAGAAACACTGGCATAAAGGGATGAAGCATGGCACGGTCCTGCGATATTTACGACAGTACTTGAACGCAGCATATGAGAGGCTGAAACTGTGGAGTTGATTTAAAATCTTAAGTCATTTAAATTGAACATAAATGTCTAATACATCAGTTTTAAAGAATAAAATGTGACCTACTGTCACTAAATGTTATTGCTTTATTTAGATTTCTCCAGTGAAAAAGTATTTTTGGCTTGCTTTTAAGAGTAACATACCTCTACTTTGTCCACAGACCAGATTTATCTCCATTGAAGAATGTCTGCCATGGTAAAGACATAGACTAAGCTCGAGTGCGAAAACTATAACTCCACCACCCACGGGATCGTCCCATGGATTTAAGGGTGATACAACGTGACAAATCAGGCACGAGTAATACGTGTAGTTTTGCCCTGAGTTTGGCCTTGAAGGTAGAAATTAAAATCCCTCTCAAATTGTTCTCTGTAAAAGTCCTTACTGCGTCATTTAACCTGGAGAGCCCAAATAGCATTTATTTGGAAAGACAGCCTCCCTGTAATCAACTGGTTGTACTCTAATTTAAAAGTTTACCTTAAGCTTTACTGTCATTTTCAATTATATGCATATACTCCTACTCTATCTTGTTAACTACATTCAACTGGATACATGCATATTGTTATGCAACAACCTATTGTTGACTCTGGGAATCTTTCTAGGGGTTCAAGTTCCTTTTTTTATAAGAAGTTTTCATAATGGTTTCAAAATATTTACTAATAATGCGGTGAAACGGGTGAAACTAAGGTCAGTAGGCCTGAATCAAAACCGGAGCTTGTGCTTATGCAGTATGGCATGCGCTGCTGCAAAGCCGTTTTTTCTAAAAAGGTGATTAAAATGTTATATAATGACAACTTGTAGTGTCGCAGGAATATTTAACAATATGGGTCAAAGTTATTTCCATTTTAAAATATTAGATGAAAAGAAAATCCCCCAAAACTCCACATCATTTAGTATTATATATTTTGTCTGGATCTGATTGATCTTTGTTTTGGTTTTTTTGGCTTTTAAATTGTTTTATTGTATAATAAAAAACGAAATCAGCAGCGGTTCCCAACCTGTGGGCTGCGTCCCCCTAGTGGTCCGCGAAGGCATTGCAAGTGGGCTAACAAATAATTTCTTCATTTTTTATATTTATTTGTATTTTGTACAGGCTAAAGACACAAACATGGACATACAAATAACTAATAGGAGATTACATTCCCATCTCAGACAACAACAAAACAAAAACAGAAGAAATAAAGATACAGTCATACAGTCACTTCAACATTTCACAAACAAAAATAGGTTGACAACCAACTACCACCAAAAACACAACATGGCAAGCATATTTATTGTTCCTTTAAAGCAGTGGTTCTCAAACTTTTTCTGTCAGGCTCCCCCTTTGGAGAAAAAAAAAAGTACGGCCCCCCCAACACAAGTCAGGCTCAGTGGCGGCGCTAGAGATTTATTTTGGNGAGGAACAGATATGTGAGAATGCTGTTCATTGACTACAGTTCAGCCTTCAATACCATTGTGCCCTCCAAGCTGGTCATCATGCTCAGAGACCTCGGGCTGAGCCCGAGGTCTCTGAGCATGATGACCAGCTTGGAGGGCACAATGGTATTGAAGGCTGAACTGTAGTCAATGAACAGCATTCTCACATATCTGTTCCTCTGGTCCAGGTGTGAGAGGGCAGTGTGGATGGTGAGGGCTATGGCGTCGTCTGTGGACCTGTTTGCTCTGTATGCAAACTGCAGGGGTCCAGAGAGTCAGGGAGGGAGGAGGTGATGAAGGTTTTGACTAACCGCTCAAAGCACTTCATAATGATGGAGGTGAGTGCTATTGGGCGGTAGTCATTGAGGCTGGTGATTTTTTACTTTTTGGGGACAGGAACAATGGTGGAGTGTTTGAAACATGTGGGGACTACAGACTGCAGCAAGGACCTGTTGAAGATGTCTGTGAACACCTCTGCCTGCTGAACTGCACACATCCTGAGAACACGGCCAGGGATGCCATCAGCTCCAGCAGCCCTGTGTGGGTTAATCCTTTTAAAGGATTTGCACACATCTGCCCTGTAAAAAACAAAAAGGGTGGGATCCTGATCCTTCTGTACCTCCACAGCCTGGCTGCTCTCAAACCGTGCAAAAAAACAGAGTTTAGCTCATCTGGGAGAGATGCGCACGCAGACAGTCCCGCAGAACCCGCTGCTGCCCCTTTGTAATCTATCATTGTTCTTAGTCCCGCCCACATGTTCCGGGTGTTACAGCCTTTGAAGTCAGATTCCACCTTCTCTTTGTACTGTCTCTTTACACTGCCAATAGCTCTCCGGAGTTCATACCTAGATTTCTTGTACTCCTCTGAATCTCCACCTCTGAATCTCCACCTCTGTGCGCGACAGTGCGTACTTTCAGCTTGGTACGCATCTCGCTGTTTATCCAGGGCTTTTGATTTGGGAATGTTCGTAGAGTAACCATCGGTACCGCGCGTAGGGCAGCTAATGTGTTGAAAGTATCTCGGCAGGACTTTCTTCATATTGGCGGTGTTAAAATCCCCGGCCACAACAAACGCCGCCTCTGGCCGTGACGTCTCTGTCTTGTCGATAAATCCAAACAATTGGTCGAGCGCTGTGTTGTTGTCAGCGTGTGGCGGAATATAGACTGCTGTAATCACAACCGATGTCAATTCTCTTGGCAGATGAAAAGCCCGGCATGTGATCATGAGGTGCTCTAAATGATGGGAACAGTCCGAAGAAATAATCCTCACATCTGTGCACCAGTTATTGTTTATCATGACGCACACACCACCTCCCTTACTTTTCCCTTAATTAACAGTCCGGTCCTGGCGAAATATAGTGAATCCGTCTGGAACAATGGCGGAGTCCGGGATAGCGGGGTTGAGCCAAGTCTCAGTGAGAATTAACACGTTACAGTTCTTAACGTCCCGTTGAAAAGCAATCCGACTTCTGAGTTCATCTAGCTTATTTCCAATCGATTGAACATTAGCCAGAAGAATACTCGGAAGAGTTTCCTTGTTTCCTCAGTCTCACTAATAATAATAATAATAAATGGGATTTATATAGCGCTTTTCTAGACCCAAAGATGCTTTACATTATGAGTCAGGTCGACAAACAAAACAAGAACAAAAAC